AAGTTCTAGTCCCACACTTCCCAATGCCTGCTGTCTTCCTGAATGTCTTATCAGCCCTCAAACTAAACATACCTACACCAGATTTCATCACCTTAATACCTACTGAACCCCATTTCTTATCTCAAACATGTGAGAAGGTAAAAGTATCATCGGTGGCATTTCTGCCAGACACAAAATTTCTGAAAATGCAGAGATCAGTGATGGGCTAAGTAAAAATAAACTAACCTTTATTTTAAATGTATTTTTATGAAATCCTCTACAAAGAATCATGTTCAAGACTTACAATTCCTGTCCCTTATTCTAGCAGGATGGCACTTGGTCATGTCCCAGTAAGATGTGCTGAGTGGATGAACAGCTGTTCTTAGGGATCACGTGCTTGTCAGCAGATATGTGCTGACTCAGAGCAAAGCAACAAACAAAAGGATACGGAGACACAGTTCCTTCAGGAAACTTACATTAATGAGGATGAAACAATTACTTATAAACGCATGTTACAGATTAATGAAGCCATAGGGAATCTTAAAGGGCACTCAGTCGGGTGGTAGACAGCAGAATGAGAAAAACAGGCAAGACAGAAAGTTTTCTATAAAGCCAAATATATTCATGTGAGAATCTCTTCTCTGACTTTGTCTTTCCTGAGTTTTAATATTAAAATTTCCTTTCTTTTATATGAAACTATATTAATATGGTGATGATGGCTCAGAGGGTTTGATGTCATTTTTTAAATAATGCTGTTTCCTGATAAAATAAAGAGCAAATACATATTGATTCTCTGTAATTTGTTTAACTGCCTCATAAACAATAGAAAAATAAGCTTCAATCTGTTATGGATTAGTAAAGCCCAAATCACATTATACTTTTAGAGGAAAAAAGTTGTTAATATTTCTTACTTCATATGTAAATCAATTAGATTCTTTTCAGGGAGGAAATCAACTGAAGTAGATAAAGAAGCCTGTTTAAAAAGAAAACAAACTAAGCCCAGGAATCAAGTGTGTATGAAGTATCACACACTGCAGTTAATCACCTTACGGGGAGTATGCCAGTGCCTCTGAAAGGGCCGTGGTGAGCACGTACGGCTGGGCACCTTCTCTCCTGTCGTGAACGTTCATGGCAGCCTGCTCCGAGTCATCTGCTCCTGCCCGTCTGGGCACTTCACCTGCAACCTGCTCTGCACCTGCTCACACCCTCCTCATACGGTCATCAATGGCAGCTCCCGTAACCGGGGCAAGCAGGAAGACAGTCGGAGGCAGCCTCTTAACAAAGCATACTGAGCCCGCCTGCTCCTCAGCCTGCTACTGGAACAGCTGAGAAGATACCATAGCATCAAACCCCACACAGACGTCTCCAGCAAGTAATCTCTCCCTCCACGAAATAAAATCAGATCCCCTTAGGCCACCACATACATAGGTCAGCCTACCAACAGCTTTCCAAAAAGTTTCTTTATACACAGATATTTTACCTTATCTATAGCAGACACTTTAGCTCCTTTATCCAGCAGCAGCTCTACTACTTCAATATTTCTCATCTTGGTAGCCTTTATCAGTGGCGTTTCACCATCCTGCAGGCAAAGATAAGAAGGTTTGCCAGATTAACAGCTTTACTCCTAAGTGTTTAAAGTCACAAAAACATACACATAAGAATTCAAATAGCTAACTGTGGTACTAGTCTATGTTAAAAATATGAGAATTTTGTTACTAAAAACTAACACAGAAAGTGCTTTTCCTCTCATAACCAATCGCTTGTATCGAAATAATTTTATATCACTCAGCTGAGTATGGGACGTGCCCAGCTACTTATCAGCCGTTTCTGGCAACAGTTTTCCCTGCCCCTTGAAGCTGCTGCCATCCCCCAGATTCCACCACTGACACCTGGGGCAGCACCTCCAGGGACTACTTCCCAGTCTCACCAACTCCCCACCAACCAGCCAGTCATGGCCATTATCTAGATTTTTCAGAAATCGATACCAGCATCACTTTAGTTTTCTGTGCACCTAAGAATCTGTCTGTAACAGGTAAAACAATTTGATACAAGCAATATGCCTCTGGAAAACCTCAGAAGAGTTCATGATTGCTTGCAAAATCAATTAAGGGAAAGAAGAGACCACAGTTCATCACTGAATTAGAAAGAGAGAAACCTGGTCAGAAGCTACAGAGAGTCACAGTAGCTAATGCACAGTTCCAAAAGAAAATGAGAAAGATTATCAAGGAGCCACCAGCAAACCAGAAGGTATCCCAGGAAACTTTCTGCTCTAGGGCCCCGAAGTTACCATCACCAGTTTAGAAAGATGCCAGCAAATGAAACACAATTGTTTCATGGGTGACTCCAAAACTTTATTCATTAAGAATTCCTGCCATCTCAACCCAGAGTTCCAAATATATCTCCTCTTGAGAAACTATTATCCATAAGAGCAAAATACAATCACTGAAGTCTTACATAGTTTCATATTTTTCACATGACTTCAGTAAAACAGACTAAAGTGGCTGGTTTCGGGAACCAATAACCACTCACAATGGTCTTTTAAAAGGAAACATATTCTGTGTTCCAAACAACAGGAGCATAAAAGAATTCTGGGGAAATAAATGATCTGTCCATAATTGATCAACAGCTGATATTGTATATTCTGAAAGTATTTAAAGTAACAAATTACACACTATATTTTGCTGTGAATGCACAGCTCTTGGAAGGATAACAAAGTTACTCCTCAGTTTTATATAACCTATAAAATCAGTTAAATTCTAATATCAAATAAAGATTACTAAAAAGAAGGCACTAATATTCAACACTAGGTATTGCTAGGAGAACAGAAATGTCTTTTATACCTTTGTGCATATTTCTGTGTCAGGGTTGCACTGTAAGATATCTCTCACCATCGTTGCATTTCCTTTCTCAACAGCCCAGTACAAAGCAGTTTTATTGTCCTATATAATAAAAAAGAAATCAACAATCACTTCATGTAAGATATAATACTGGGAACTGCTATTCGCAACTATAAAACATCATTCTTAACATTTCTAAAGAAGTAACAATTGATAAGATGCAAGAATAAGATTTATATAAAACTTTCAATGAAAATTGTTAAAAGGAAAATTACAAATACATATTTTGGAATTAATGGATCTTAACCAACAAGCAGCATGGTGGAAAATATTACCAATTCTTATTCTATCTTGCATTTACTTTTGAGAAATTCTTTATGAAAGCAGCCTAGGAAAACTTAGTATTACTTGACTTAGAAAGCAACAACCCCCCAGAGCTGAAAGGGCAGCTGTGCTTTTGTTAATGCAATCAGATCGCAGGAGTTGAGGGTCGTCAGTCCCTGAGATCTGTATCCCTGGACAAGTAAGTGTTCTGACCCTTCCACTCTTCACCTGCCCAATCTTTCCAAAAAATCTTGCATGAGAATGTAATACACAGACTTAGGATGAATTGTTTTTTATCATTTTTAGCTTTCTTAATGTACACCCATACCACACCTGTACACCAATCTTGACCAGATCTTTTAAAATCCTATCTCATTCAAAAACCAACAGATCCGCACAGCCTCTGAAAGCAAAGCAAGAGATACGAAACTAAACTGACAACAGCATACGAAAACAGGATTGGCAGACAAAAAGGCATTAGATAAAAGCCTAAATAGATGATCCAGTAACCATCTTTAAGTGAAAATATTATTTTAACCCAAAAGACAATGAATTATTTTCTGCTACTGCCACACTAAGTTTCCTATACCAAAATTTCACCAATGGAGTTCCCCTTCTCAAAAATGTACACTAGCTTCCCAATTTTCTTAGGGTGGCACTCAAACCATCCCACCTCCTATCATTCTACCGCCAGCCTGACTTACCAGCTAAGGGATACAGTCTTTCACTTTCTCATTTTCTTGAATTCACATCCTATTATTCCACTACCTTGCTGAAATGTCCAGTCTTCCTTTCTCTGCTAAATCCAACCCATCTTTCAAAGTTAGCTCAAATTCCACCTTCTCTCGAAAGCCTTCCTTAATGCCCTCTTTCCCCACCTCAAGACTCATCTATTTGAACTTTTCACTAGACAATCAATCAGGTACCATCTTGCACCAAAAGTGGCATCTCTTTTTATATTTATGTAAAAACATAAAAGTAAAAGTAAAGAGAGCAAAGTAAAATGTTCCTCACAAAAATACATGTTTCTTACAGGCAACGGTCCCCTGTTAAGCTCCTCATAGCATTTGGCATAGTATTTATTGATTGAAAAATGGTTTTGGATGCAAGCTAAATACAAGGAAAAACTGAGCAGAAATGCAGACTGTCCAGCAACAGAATAGGTTATTATGCACAGGTTTTTTTAAATCTAAGGCTCTTGAAATACTGGATAAATTAACAACTTTAGGGAAGCTTTTACATAAAATTAATACCCTTTGTAGCTCTATGAGTTATGACTGCCTTAAGCAAAATCCAGAGGCACTTTCAGCCAAGTGGTCCTAGGGGAGGCAAGCAGAATGGAGAAAGAGGAAAAGAAAGATAAAACAAGAATGGAAGAATAACATATGAATGAAGAAAACAAAACAGAGGTTAAATACTAAAGAAAATAAACTGCATACACTCAAAGTGCCACCAACAGTCTCAGTACCATAAACTACTCATTTCAGGATTGATTATATTTTACACTAGTAAGAGAGGTATATTTGAAAAAATTAGCTTCTTTTTGGCTTACTTCCATCTAAATCTAACTTAACATTAATACAGAAATTTCATAATAATGTCAGTGAAACTTAGTAATACAGGCATCCATTAAATAGATTAGGGTTTACAAGTCTATCTCCATAGAAAAGTTGGAAGAATGATATTGTGTTCCGTCAACACATACAACCAAGGTTACTCAGAGATAAAGACAGCACTGTAGCCACACATACCTGTCCTCTAATGTCTATGTCAGCATATTTTTGGAGAAGTGCTCGAACAATTTCCACATGACCACCTCTGACAGCACCAATCAACACAGTGTCCCCACTCTTAAAAGACAAAACAAAGTATATTTAATGATGGGAACAAATAAACACTGTTCTGAAGTTAAGATTAATCATGTATTAATATAGTTTTTTCTGCAAATTTCTTGTAAAAAAAAAAGGATCTGTAAATAAGAGAAAAATTTTAGTTAACTAATACTAATACCTGATATTAACAGCACTCGGCATAAGGGATCAAAGACTTTATACCTCAAAATGAGCACTCTGAAATTCCACAACAAAAGCTTAAAAAGACAAATCACCTAGAACAATAAACCATTCTCTTTGAAGGTAACCTCCCATTATAAATGTAAACTAAATAAAATAACATGGCTGTCAATGAACCAGATGAACATTTGGAAATTACATAATATAAATCCTTTGGAATAATGTTATGCGATGAAAGCCATGGATTCTAAAAAAGGGAGTCGTAAAGCTGGAGCCATCAGTGAGTGGGTCTATAACTGCATTTAATTAAGGTAGAAGACAGATTCCCAGAACGGCATCCATATTCTAGTTAATTTGTAATTACAGGCCAACAGTACATAAGACTGACTCATTCCGCAGTACACGACCTAGATAAAATTCATTACTTCATAAGGACATCTCTTTGCCCTGAAATTACATTCACCAAGCAACAATTATTAATTATACCTTTGGTAATGGGGATAATTTTCCTTTCGGCTGAGTAACAAATCAGTTGTAGGGATTCGGGCTGGGCAGGCCCATGAGCTGGAGCTCATCTCCATCCTTAGAGGGCCCCATGGGCTATGAATCAACACGCAGGTCCTTGAGGATTTAGCACCACTGTGCAGTATCCTAACTACTCTACATTGGAAGCAGAAACAAACCCAAGGCAAACAAATTCTAGTTGAGAATGTTAGCATTAATATGGGTCCAGACTAGTAAATTAATAAAAAGTTATAAATATTTCATTGCTTACTATACACCATGCCTTGTTCTAGGCACCAGGAAACAAGAGATTCAAGGTCACAGCTCTGAAAAATTAACAGTCTAGAGGAGACAGACAACATACAATAAACACAAATAAAAAAATCAAACAAATGCCACACAAGTAAATTCAAATACAGTGATGTGATAGGAAGTGACTGGGCAGCTACTTTGGATTGGACAGCTGGAGAAGACCTTCCTGAGGAAGTAAGATTTGGGGTGAGACTGGAATGACAAGGAGGAGCCAGCCACATGAACATCAAGACCAGCAATCCAGACAGAACTCCACTGGGGCAGGGGCCCCAAAGGAGCACCGGGATCAGTGTGCAAAGGAAAGGGAAAGTTAATATGGCTGCAAGCTATTGAAACAGGAGTGAGAATGGTACAAAATAAGGACGAAGAGTTAGGCAAGGACAGTGTCATGTAGCGTCTATGAAGTAAAGAAGTAACACTTATCCAATGCGCAAAAGGAAGCCTTGGATGACTTTAAACAAAGAAGTACTTTTTGTCTCAGATATGAGACTTACTGCTTTGAAGGTCACTCTGATAACAGTGTGGAGAGTGAATCAGAGACAACAAGAGAACTCAGTTCAGATGCTATTGCTGTAACAATGGGAGATGGTGGCTTGGACTAGGCAGGTAGTAGTGGAAATGAAGGAAGTGGACAAAGGTTATATTTTGGAGGAAGAACCAATAAAATGTACTAAAGAATTAGATGTAGTAGCTGAGGAAGAAAAATCAAGGCTAATGTGTAGATCTGGGGCTTTAACAACAGGGCGAATGGTGGTACCACTTACCGAGATGGAGAAAACTGAGGGAAAAGCAGGTTGTCTTGAAACAAACAAGACCTCTCTTTTGCTGTAAGCTTAGAAGGCCCGTTAGACAATCAAACAGAGCTCAAGTAGAGTGGACACACAAGTGTAGAGTTCTGAGAAGATGATAGAGCACGAGATACAATTCTGAAAATTCTAACTGTAAAAGTGGTACTTGAAGCCTTTGGACAATGAACAACACCAACCATGAACAACATGTACAGTGATATGTATTAAGGACAGTTATAGACCAATAATAGCACATGTGACATTTTCAATAACAATAGCAATGGAAAAAATTGAAAAGAACACCCTTCACAAAGATTGAGTAGTTTTTAACTTGTTACTTCTAAAGTAGAAATAAAATTTTTCTTACAACAAGTGTATGAAGAACCCTGAAGGGTGGCAAAAAGTTAACATAACCTCTAGAAGACAAGTTTAAACAGGTAACCTACCCTATCAGGTATGTTCACATATGTTCCAGCATCAAGTAGATCCTGTACAATCTCGGTATGTCCCTCCTTTGATGCGATCATCAAAGCAGTATTTCCATCCTTATCTGTTAAATTTACATTTGGATTCCTCTTCAAAATTTCTTTTACTGACTGTGTGTAGCCTCCTTTTACTGCCACAATAAGTGCAGTCATTGAATTCTTAAAAACAAAAACAAGCCCAAGAAATTGGTATATTCTACAAAACATGATTAATGTGATAGTCTTACAACTAATATTTTCAAAAGGTGGCCTATTACTAATAGTTATTTCTGATAATAAAATGCCAATATCAATAACCAGACATACACCAAAAATGGCCAGGAGCTTATTTTTCTTTTCGAAGATACATTAATTCTTTTGAGTAGATAGGTCTGTTATGACACCCAATTGTTTACATGATCATTTGAAATTGGACCTCTTAACTAATAATGCATGAAGCATAAAGTAGTTGACAGGATGATTCAAAATTAAATGCATTCTAAAATAATAGTCCAAAGTAAGGTCAATAAGACTTCAAATGAAGAATTGTTCAACAACAAAAGCTATAGGAAAAACTGAAGAAAACAATGAAACAATAACAGTTATAGGATATTTCAATAAAAGTATAATATATCCTTCTGTCTATCACAGTGATCTAGAAACATTTGCAAAATCTGTATTATTTTCAGTGGTTTTGTAAAAAACTGCACATCTCATTTATAACAATACATCACCTAATAGAAGAATCTGACTCATTACCAAAAGGAATTGTTAAAATTCTTCTTTAGATTTCATCTATTTTGAGATGTCATATAATTTCCTTATAAAATATTTCTATTAGATCAACCCCCAAAACTAAGCTATGATTTTCTCACATATTAAAATAGTTATAGCCTTTTCATTTCTTTAGCAGTCTGTAATCACAGAGACAAGCCACTCTTCCATTTGATAAACTGTCCCAAAAAGAAGAAAGTAAAAGTATGACTTCCATGGCTGTCTATGAATTATGCTCTGTCTCCAACTGCACTAAAATATTACATGCTCCTTGAAGGTCAGCAGTAGCTCCTGCCAATATGGAAAACAGGAGGACCTGGGTGATATTAAGTCAAGCATGATTTAGAGTTCATTTTTGTTACACTGGAGCTAGAGATTTGGTAGTATGTCTTCTCAGAATCCTTGATCGATTTTACGTATTATTTAATTATGTAAATAGTAGTCTGTATTACTTGTTTCTTGTTCATAGATGTCATTTGCTTTCATGATAAAGTCATTTGTTAGGCTTCTCCAGTATCACCAGCTCACATGGCACCAGGCTGCACACACAACAGGTGTTCAATGAAGAACTAATAACTGCTGGTCAGTAAGATGTATTGAACCAATTTTTAAAAGTTTTCTAGGTTTTACCACTGATTTCTAGTATTTTAAAAATCTGTCTATTGTAGAAGGAAAATAAGTCACAGCTAAAAAAGTCTCAAAATTAAAATACTAAATTTTTAAAGAAAAGGCAATTTAAGAGAGCTTTCTAAGCTTTTTCCCACAATTAATAGTATTTCAGACTGATCTGAAGAGTATTTCAATTTATACTGATTATTGAAAGATATTCTTTATAGTTTTAGCCTTCCAAAATTAATGTGCAATAGATACTTAAAAACACATTTATATTTAATACCTATAATATATTTATCAGGACAAGTGGAAGAAAATGCTTATTTTTCTAAGTATCATTTAAGAACTACAGAGATGTTTTTCTAGGCTGTGAAGAAAAAATATTCTCTCTCTTAAAACTAAAATCATGTCTTTATTACTTACAGCTCCTTCCTGATCAACATCAGCTCCCATGGCCAGTAAATGTTTTACACATTCCAAATGACCCTTTCGTGCAGCCCAAACCAGAGGGGTGGTTCCATACTATTAAAACAAATAATAAATTTAAAATTATTATCAGAACTGTACTGAAAAGCTGAACATGAATTTTTTATTAAAATCATGCTTTATTATTAGATTATATTTACAATTACAATTTTAATCCTAAATAAATCATGTATTTCCCATTTGATGATTGACCACCACATAAAAGAAATGTCTTTTAACTAACTTTACTTTTCATAATCAGTGAATTTTTTCATCATAAAATCACATAGCCTCTAACTTTCAACAGGTTTCACTGCTTCCTGTACCTTGTGAAATAGTTTAAAGTCCAACAGTCTGACTACATGGAAAAATAATAACAACCAAATACCAAATACAGTTCTAAATACTCTGTGTGGGTTAACTTATGTAATCCTTACCACAAGAATAAGTACAACTCACAATAACACATTTTCACAGATGAGCTAATGAGAACTTGAGATCCTAATTACAGGCTCAAAGTCACAAAGGTGGAACAAGACCAAGGAACCCAAAAAGCCTCGCTTCAGTCTGTGCTCTTAACCAATACCACTATCAGCCTCTATACTTCACAAAACAAACTACAATCTAGAAACTACACCCCAAAGCACCTTCTGCTTGTAACATGATTTAAAAGACATCAAAGAATATAAATCATACATAAAACCAATGCTGTATCTTGGGGGAGTCTGGCAATCAAGAGACACATGAATATCCAGTGATATTCAACTGCATTGGAGACTGCAGACTGAAAGGAACGTTTAATGAATGCCTACTCTCTCTAACAGCTCTGTCCACCAGAACTTTGTGTTGACAGAGACACACTATAATTCTGCACTAGCCAGCACACTCCCATATGACTACTGAGCACTTGGAATGTGGTAAGTATGACTGAGGAGATTTGTTTTTCTAGCATCTGTGTTTAGTACAGATATAGGGCACTGTGCACAGTAGGTCCTAGACATTTCCTCAAAGTGTAAGAGTGACAAACTAGGTAGCATAGTACCTGATTCTGGAAGGGCCCTGAATGCCAAGTTATATATAAACATTTTTCAATAAGCCAGAAGGAGAAATTAAAGGTTTCTTCATCATTGCAAAGTGTGAAATCTGAAACACCAAGAGATAGGAACCACAAACAATAAAACCTCACTAACCTGAATTATAAGGCAATCTGAATTAATGAATTGTCTCAAATACAGAATTTTAAAATGACAATTACAAGTATTTGCAATAGTCTCCTTACGGTCCTTATTAAGCTATTATATTTTGTAACATGTTTATAAAAAGGATCTGTGTAGTACACAAATCTTAGGTGTACTACTTGATGATTTATGTATGTGTGTGTGTGTGTGTATATATATATATAGATATAGATATATATAGATATAGATATAGATATGGATCTATAGGTAGATATAGATATATAAGCTGTATCTATATATACACACCTGCATAAACACCATCCAGAAAAAGAAAAGGATGATTTCCGCCACTCCCAACAGGTTAAGCAATACTATCTTATTTAAATTTATGATGAGAATATATTCTAATTATCAAAATCTCTCTAATTAATCACTGTTTTCCTATATTTCACTATTACCCACAATGTGTCAAGTTCCAAAATAATATGTCAATATGTCAGGTTCTTAAATACTTATAAATGTTCAGGGTGAATATTAAAGATTTTAAAAAATGAATAGAACAAAATGAGGAGCTTTCTGGAACTAAGGCAAATGAGCTGAGTGTGAAGGATGACGAGAAGCGAAAGCAGACAAGGAGAGGGCATGCCACACGGTGAAGAAGCACTGTGACGGCATGGAAGGGGTAGAGCAGATGAATTCAGGAACCTACATCATCATCATTTGGTAGTCTAGCATGCAAAGTAGTTTTTGGATACATATAACAAAAGAAAAGGTAAAAAGGGAGGAAAGGCCTGTCTTCATACATTATACCAGGGACTGATGCCTTTAGGATTTTAAGCATGAAAAATAGGTAACTACACTTGAATTTTAGGAAGATCATTCAGGCAACAATACACAGAAAGAATCAGGACTGATGTAGGAAGAAGAGTTACAACAGAAAACTTCCAATAACAGAGACAGGAAATCATCCCTATCTATTTTCCAGAGAATGATGGTGTGATATAAAAAATAATAGAAGGGCTCATGAACAGGAAGAATGAATATTGCTAAAACGGATATACTACCCAAAGCAATCTAGAGATTCGACGCAATCCATACCAAAATACCAATGGCATTTTTCACAGAACTAGATAGAGCAAATAATCCTAAAATCTGTATGGAATTTAAAAAGACCCCAAACAGCCAAAGCAATTTTGGGAAAGAAGAACAAAGCTAGAGGTATCATACTCCCTCTGTACTACAAAGCTACAGAAATCAAAACAGTATGGAACTGGCACAAAAATAAGACACATAGCTCAATGGAACAGAATAGAGACCAGAAATAAACCCACACTTACATGATCAATTAACACATGACAAAGAAGGCAAGAATATACAATGGAGAAAAGACAGTCTCTTCAATAAATGGTGCTGGGAAAACTGGATAGATATATGCAAAAGAAAGACCACTGTCTTATACCATACAAAAAAATTAACTCAAAATGGATAAAAGACCTAAATATAAGACCTGAAACCATAAAACTCCTGAAGCATAGGCAGTAAACTCTTCAACATCTGTTTTACTTTTTTTTCTGGATATATCTCACCAGGCAAGGGAAACAAAAGCAAAAATTAACAAGTGGGACTATACCAAACTAAAAAACTTCTGCACACACAAAAAAAACCATCAACAAAACAAAAGGCAACCTACTGAATAGGAGAATATATCTGTAAATAATATATCCAGTAAGGGGCTAATATCCAAAACATACAAAGAATTCATACAACTCAACACCAAAAAAAAAAAAAAACAAATAATCAGATTAAAAAACGGGCAAAGGACCTGAACAGACATTTTTCCAAAGCAGACATACAGAAAGCCAACTGACACGAGAAAAGATGTTCAACATCACTAATAATGAAAATAAAATCACAATGAGATATCACCTCGTACCAGTCAGAAGGGCTAGTATCAAAAAATCAAGGAATAACCAAGGATTTGGAGAAAAGGGAACCCTCGTACTACACTGGTGGGTATGCAAATTGGTGCAGCCACTATGGAAAACAGTATGGAGGTTCCTCAAAAAATTAAAAATAGAAATATCATATGACCTAGTAATTCTACTTCTTGGAATTTACTGAAAGAAAACAAAATCACTACTTCGAAAAGATACATGTACCCCTTTGTTTACTGTAGTATTATTTACAATAGCCAAGGTATAGAAGCAACTTAAGTGTCATTCAATAGATAAATGGATAAATAAGATGTGACACATATATACAATGGAATATTACTCAGCTTTTAAGAAGAAATTCTGCCATTTGCAACAACATGAAAAGACCTAGAGGGTATTACACCAAGTGAAACAAGTCAGACAGAGAAAAACAAATAACATATGATTTCACTTATACGTGAAATATAATAGCAAATGAATGAACAAAACAGAAATAGACCATTAAACATGGAGAATAAACTGGTGGTGGCCATGGGGGAGAAGGGTGAGAGGACAGACAAAATAAGTGAAAGGGATAAAGAGGAACAAACTTCCAACTATAAGATAAATTAAGTCACGGGGATTAAAGTACCACATAGGAAATATAGTCAATAATATTGTAATATCTTTGTATGGTGACAGTTGGTAACTACACTTAACTGGTGAGCATTTCACAATGTATGTAATCATTGAACCACCATGTTGTACAACTGAAACCAATACTGTGTATCAACTACATTTCAATTTAAAAATGTAAAAAAAAGAAAATAAAACAATGGAAGGGCACTTAGTACATAATATGTATAAGGTATCTTGAGCATATACCTTTTAAATGTATATAAAATACTTAATACACATAAATGTAAGGTACATGAGAGCAGTCTCATGAGATCACAAGAAAATGTAACTTGGCCACACTGAGTGGACATAATTATGGACTGGAACCTGGAAAGATCCTGCTGACTTACCTTATCAGAGCAGTTGACTTTAGCACCATTTTGCAGTAAAAGATGCACTATATCTGCATGGCCTCTCCCTGCTGCCCAAATGATTGGGTAAACACTGTACTGCTAGGAGACAGGCAGGTGGGGAGGTAGGAAAATAAGGAGGAAGGGAGCAAGGGAGGCAAAGACAAAATCTTTTAGGTGAATATTTACAGAACACATTTGCTAAGAAAAGTAAATAACCAAGGTACTATAAAGTAATACTTTAAAAAATCAAGTTACAGACCATTCTCCACTTTAAAAATATACACAATACTCATAATACATAATTGGCAACTAAGATGCACTCAACATTAAATAAATACATATTATGAACACATTATTTTTATAGATTCAATACATTTAATGTGATTATCTAGCCAACAGGCAAAACTAATAAAAGGAATATGAAACTTTTCTTATCTAATCCTTCCATTAACTTTCCTTTTTGCAGCTTTACTGAGATATAACTGCAGTATATCCTCAATATAAAAATACAACTATAAGATAAAGTATATGACATGATGTTTTGGTATACATATATATTATGAAAGGGGTAGCCATCAATAAAATAGTCTCAATCTACAGTCTGAGATCAAGTTTCAAGCAAAGTAGTAATGCATGTTATCACCATCTGTAAAAATATACAGACAAATGGTATCAATACTGGTAAATGTCCTTTTCATTAAAGACTTTAGATTAAAAGAACATACCCACATGGACAGTGACTGCATTGGGGTATGGGTAGGGACTTGATAATATGGGTAAACGTAGTAACACATTGTTTTTTCATGTGAAACCTTTGTAGAAGTGTATATCAATCATACCTTAATAAAAAATTTAAAAAAAAACATACCCACAGAGAACAGGCAAGATGACTAAGGATTTCAGAATCTCCTTTTGAATGTTATATAGTTTTAATTAATATTTTAGCTCCTTTACTTGCCTTTTGTTGATAAAAATTGAGATTTTTTTCAGCTTAGCCTGAGAAAAAAACTCTCATGTTTTGAAGTCATGTTATGATATTTAGTAAGGTCTAGATCATTTCTATCTGCTATGAAGTCTAAAGTACAATTAGCCTTAAATATCTATAAACTACTTTACCACTTATATTACAGATGAATTTTTGTTAGGCTTACCAGACCAGTGACACTCGGATTAGCACCATGAGAAAGAAGCAACTCTACTACTTCAGTACGGCCTTTGTAACATGCCCACATAAGAGCTGTCCATCCTCCCTAGAATAAAAGAAGGAAGGAGAGAGAAACTTTACGCCATCTCCAAGTACAAAAACGTCATTAATGAAGTTCCTTTTGTGAATATTCTTCATAAAACCATTGTTTTATGAAGGCATCACCATGTAGTTTTAAATTCCCAAGCTCAAGAAAGAAATATAGTAGACCTGAAATAAATCAAATCTCTTAAGACCAGAAATGATTACTCCAAAGTTTGTACAGTATCATAGAAATTGAAATAGGGAACATTCATGTTGGATTCTTCTAAATTTCCCAGATGTATTTTTGCCACTTAAAACTTTTTCTTAAGGAAACGTTCTATGTCCCTAGATATTCTCCTCCTTGTACGAGTCTAGACTTTGTTCCAGAGGGAGATCCAGCAATCATATTCAACTCCTGCACTTAAACACATCCTATGAATCTCAGATCATTACAGTAACCTCTTGATAAAAAAGAGAGAATGCTAAGGCCATGATCTGGATGTAGATCATGATTTTCAGGGGTCAGCAAATTCATCAAGTATGAATTAACAGCATAATAACTCTCTATTTTCTAAGCTTACAGGAGCAATTTTTTTTCATTTTTTTTTTTATTGAACAATTTTCTATTTAGCTATGATGCAATTCAATAAAAGAGACCAATATAATCAAGTTCTACTAAGAAACACATGTTTTGTTTTGTTTAATCAGTATTTAGACGATTCCACATTTGGTTCTGAGAATATAAATCACTTAATCCTTCTGATTCTGTTTTATCATCACTAAAACAAATTTTAAAAATACTTGTCCTTAGAATTGCACAGAGCTTACTTACTGCTCAGGAGAAAGGACAGATAGACAAAATTGTCTGGGTACACTCTACCCAACAGGTTGGGAACTTTCTCGATCTTCAGGCACTCCAGCTCCCTGACTGGCTACAAAGCTCAGACCCCCTCCGTGAAACACAGCCTACCGCATCTTTCTCTCAGCCAGCCTCACCTGACTCGCTATCAGGCAAATCCTACCCCAGCATTAGGCCAGCCAGAGGGAAGCCCCATCTACAGCAACTATGAACGCAAAGCATAGAGGCTTGTATCTGTGTGCTCAGCCCACTGGTTCTGGCAGTGCAGGCAGGCATAGCAGCCGGGAAGCAAGAAACAGCTCTTTCCTCCCTCCAGACACCAATACCACTCCCTTGCAACCCCCGACATTGCTACAGGAGCTGAGCAGCTCCAGAGAGTAGAGCTTCTGGGCACTAGAGGGCGCCATATACAAATATGAAACGCCAAAGAAACCTGCTTCAAAGTAAAATTATGAATAGAACGCCTGAGAAAGATTCAAATGAAATCAACTTCATGAATCTTCCTGAAAGGGATTTCAAAATAAATTATAATTAACATGCTCATGGAGGTAGAGAAATTTTCAAGAACTCAGAAATTAATTGCAGTCAGAGATCCAGTCGTTCAAGAGCACAACTGAGGGTATTAAAAGCAGATTAGATACATTGGAGAAGATAAATGAAATAGAAATAAGAGAAGTGGAATACAAAGAAGCAGAGGGACAGAAAGAAAAAAAGGATCTCTAAGAATGAAAGATATTGAGAGAACTGTGTGACCAATCCAAACGGAACAATATTTGCATTATAGGGGTACCAGAAGAAGAAGAAGAGAGAGAAAAAGGGATAGAAAGTGTCCTTGAGGAGGTAATTGCTGAAAACTTCCCCAATCTGGAGAAGGAGACAGTCTCAGGCCATGGAGGTGCACAGATCTCCCAACACAAGGGACCCAAGGAAGACAGCACCAAGACATATACTAATTAAAATGGCAAAGACCAAGGATAAGGACAGACTATTAAAAGCAGCCAGAGAGAGAAATAAGATCACATACAAAGGAAACCCTAGCAGGCTATCATCAGACTTCTCAATAGAAACCATATAGGCCAGAAGGGAGAGGCATGATGTATTTAATGCAGTGAAGCAGAAGGACCTCGAACCAAGATTACTCTACCCAGCAAGATTATTATTTAAATTTGAAGGAGGGATGAAACAATTTCCAGATAAGCAAAAGCTGAGAGAATTTACCTCCCACAAAACATTTCTAAAGTGTATTTTGGGGGGACTGCTAAAGACAGAAGAGTTCCTAAGGTTTAATAGCTGTCACCAGAGGTAATAAAACCACAGCAAAGAAAGTAGAACAGTTAATTACTAAGCAAATGCAAAATTAAATCAACTATCCCCAAAGTCAATCAAGGGATAGACAAAGAGTACAGAATATGATACCTAATATAGAAAGAACAGAGGAGGAAGAAAAAGGAGGAGAAAAAAAGAACCTTTAGATTGTGTTTGTAATAGCATATTAAGTGAGCTAAGTTAGACTCTTAGATAGAAGGAAGTTAACCTGGAACCTTTAGTAACCATGAATCTAAAGCCTGCAATGGCAATAAGTACATAGCTATCAATAATCACCCTAAATGTAAATGGACTGAATACACCAATCAAAAGACATTGAGTCACTGAATGGATAAAAAGACAAGACCCATCTATATGCTGCCTACAAGAGACTCACTTTAAACCCAAAGACATACACAGACCAAAAGTGAAGGGATGGAAAAAGATATTTCATGCAACTAACAGAGAGAAAAAAGCAGGAGATGCAGTACTTCTATCAGACAAAATAGACTTCAAAACACAGAAAGTAACAAGAGACAAAGAAGAACGTTACATAATGATAATGGGGTCAATCCAACAAGAAGATATAACCATTAAAATATCTATGCTCCCAACACAGGAGCACCTACATATATGAAACAAATACTGACAGAATTAAAAGGGGAAACAGAACTCAATGTTTTCATTCTTGTAGACTTCAACACTCCACTCACTCCAAAGGAGAGATAAACCAGACAGAAAATAAGGAAGGAGACAAAGGCACTGAACAACAGATGGACCTAACAGACATCTACAGAACTCTACACCCAAAAGCAGCAAAATACACATTCTTATCAACTGCACATGGTACATTTTCAAGAACAGATCATATACTAGGCCACAAAAAGAGCCTTGGTAAATTCAGAAAGACTGAAATTGTACCAACCTGTTTTTCAGACCACAAAGGTATGAAACTAGAAATACATTATGCAAAGAAAATGAAAAATCCCACAAACAATATGGAGGCTTCACAACATGCTCCTAAATAACCAATGGATCAATGACAAAATAAAAACAGAGATCAAGCAATATATGGAGACAAATGAAAATAATAACTCAACACTACAAAATCTGTGGGACGCAGTAAAGGCTGTGCAAAGAGGAAAGTATATTGCAATACAGACCTACCTCAGGAAAGAAGAACATCCCATATGAACACTCTAAACTCACAATTAACAAAACTAGAAAAAGAAGAACAAACGAGGCCAAAAGTCAGTAGAGGGAAGGGCATAATGAAGATTAGAGCAGAAATAAATAAAATCGAGAAGAATAAAACAATAGAAAGAATCAATGAAATCAAGAGCTGGTTCTTTGAGAAAATAAACAAAATAGATAACCCTGAGCCAGACCTATCAAGAAAAAAGGAGAGTCTACACACATAAACAGAATCAGAAACGAAAAGGAAAAATCACTCCGGACACCACAGAAATACAAAGAATTATTAGAGAATACTATGAAAACCTACATGCTAACAAGCTGGAAAACCTAGGAGAAATGGACAACTTCCTAGAAAAATACAACCTTCCAAGGCTGACCCAGAAAGAAACAGAAAATCTGAACCAACCAATAACCAGCAACGAAATTGAACTGGTAATCAAAAAATGACCTAAGAACAAAATCCCTGGACCAGATCGCTTCACCGCTGAATTTTATCAAACATTTAGTGAAGACCTAATACCCATCCTCCTTAAAGTTTTCCAAAGAGCAGAAGAAGAGGGAATACTCCCAAACTCATTCTATGAGGCCAGCATCACCCTAATACCAAAACCACGCAAAGACAACACAAGAAAATTACAGATTAATATCCCTGATGAACATAGACGCAAAAATACTCAACAAAATATGAGCAAACTGAATTCAAAAATACATCAAAAAGATCATCCATCATGATCAAGTAGGATTTATTCCAGGGATGCAAGGATGGTGCAACATTCGAAAATCCATCAACATCATCCACATCAACAGAAAAGGACAAACACCACATGATCACCTCCATAGATGCTGAAAAAGCATTTGACAAAATTTAACATCCATTCATGATAAAAACTCTCAACAAAATGGGTATAGAGGGCAAGTACCTCAACATAATAAAGGCCATATATGACAAACCCACAGCCAACACTATACTTAGCAGCGAGAAGCTGAAAGCTTTTCCTTTAAGGTCAGGAACAAGATAAGAAAGCTCACTCTCCCCAGTTCTATTCAACATAGTACTGGAGGTCCTAGGCACGGCATTCGGACAACACAAAGAAATAAAAGGCATCCAGATTGGCAAAGAAGAAGTTAAACTGTCCCTGTTTGCAGATGATATGATATCGAACATAAAAAACTCTTAAAGAATCCACTCCAAAACTACTAGGTCTAATATCTGACTTTAGCAAAGTTGCAGGATACAGTATTAATACACAGACATCTGTTGCATTCTTCTACACTAATGATGAACTAGCAAAAAGAGAAATCAGGAAAACAATTCCATTCACAATTGCATCAAAAAGAAGAAAATACCTAAGAATAAACCTAACCAAGGAAGTGAAAGACCTATACTCTGAAACTACAAGACACTCATGAGAGAAATTAAAGAAGATACCAATAAATGGAAACACATCCTGTGCTCATGGATAGGAAGAATGAATATTGTCAAAATGGCGATCCCGCCTAAAGCAATCTACAAATTCAATGCAATTCCTATCAAAATACCAACAGCACATTCTTCAACAAACTAGAACAAATAGTTCTAAAATTCTTTTGGAACCACAAAAGACCCTGAATAGCCAAAGCAATCCTGAGAAGGAAGAATAAAGCTGGGGGGGGTGGGGGCG